AATTCTTGTTCGGAACGTAAAACAACAATCAATCAATCCTATGTTTTCCTATGTAAAACTCTGATTTCTCATTGTGGCCCCACACTACCCACCCTAAATTTGAACAAATTTGAATCTACACTACCAAAGGATGCTTCTATAATAATATGACTAATCATGGCTCTGCTGTTCTTGAGCAGATTTTTTTTCAAGATGATTCCTATATTTTTTCTTATGCAAAACTTAATCTGTTGTATCCTCATGATTTGAACATACTTGATTCTACAATACCTAAGGTTGCTTCTATATAAATATGACTAATAATGGCTTAGTGGTTCTTGAAAAGAAGATTGTAAAGATATTTCCTATGTGAAAGCATTTTATAGTAGAAAAGGATTTATCAAGAGAAAGTTCAAAAAATGTAATTAACTAATTATAAGCAGTAATTAATTAACAAAGATTGCATTGTTGTGTAAGGGGACAAGCGATTTTTCTTTTAAAAATAAATATTCAAATAAAAAGAATATTAATAAATACTGTGGTGGAAAGATGCATAAAACATTAGAAATAGAATGAAAATTGAAAACGATTTTTTTTTTACCAGATAAGTTTTTTATAACTGAATTTTTCAAATAAAAACAGATGGAGATAACCCTTTCCAAAATTCAAGGTCATAAATTAGGACACATCCCACCCTTACATGCTAATAGTAATAAATGGGAATTATGTCTAAGTATACTAAGTATTAAACACCTACATATCTGTCGTGTATTCAATTTTATTGAATCTGTTGATATTAGGAATGGTATACCTTAACTTCTCTATTGCTGATTCAGCATCCAACTTGTTCTGCTAGCTTCTGAATGCCTAACTTTCCCAAAGCTTTGGCTTATATACCCTTTGGTTTGGCTAGTCCATTCCAAGGGTTGCTAGGTCATTCCATTATTTCAGGTCTTCAATGCATTTTACTCGAATGCCCCTTAACCATTTCACCTAAATATTCCTATGAAAAACTCTCACCCACTGTTGTGGCCCTGCCCTATCCGTGGGGGTCTTGATTTGAACAAACTTGAATCTACACTACTTGAGGATACTTCTCTATTAATATGACTAATAATGGCTTAGCTGTTCTTGAGATGAAGATTTTTAAAGATATTCCAATATATTCCTATGGTGAACTTTGACCCCCTGTTGTGGCCCTGCCCTACTCCCAGGGGTCATGATTAGAACAAACTTGAATCTACACTACCTGAGGATACTTCTATTATAATTTGACTAATCATGGCTTTGCTGTTCTACAGAAGAAGATTTTTAAATACATTTCCTATTTATTCCTATGTAAAACTTCGAGCCCCTCTTGCGGCTCCGCCCTACCCCCCGGGGTTCATATCATGAAGTTTGTCATGAAGCTTTCAAATAAGTTTCATCTTTTCTTGCCCAGTTGTTCTTGAGAAGAAGATATTTAAAAGAAGCCACCAAATTTTTACGAATTCTTAATTGTCTCCCCTTTAAAGAGGGCATGGAACTTCCTGTGAACAAACTTAAATTCACCCAAGGATGCTTTGTGGCAAGTTTGGTTGAAATTGGCCCAGTGGTTCTTGAGAAGAAGTCGAAAATGTGAAAAGTTTACGCACTACAAATGGACGCCGGACACAGTCTTTGTTCAGAAAAGCTCACTTGAGCCTTCGGCTCAGGTGAGCTAAAAATTACAAAATGATAAGTTGTAATATTGTAATTTTATATTTACTTCCATCCGGTAAATTCAAAAATTACAATATGACAGTAATATAATTCAATCACTGGTGAACTCTTGTTTGCAATATAATAAAAAGATAATGGCAAAATTGTCATTTTTATTGAATAAAGGGGTGTAAAATATAGGCTGGAATCGAAAGTTAGTGTGCGTAGTTCTTTGCCATACTCTCCCCATGGCCTTCTTTTAAAACTTACTGATGAACTAGTGATATTTTATGTTCGAGTACGTATCAGGGTGTTGTGAATTCTCAGATGCAGGTCTCTGGAACTATGCAAGTAATTATGTTCAGTGATAAAACTCTACTGAAAGTAAATGGGGGACCATTTAATGTCAAAAACGACTGGGCATTAATATTGTTTCTTCTAGAACACACGGGTTTTCCAAAAAGAAAAAAAAATCGGATATTTAAGGCGAGATATTAACTCGCATGATTCCGCGGACATCAAATCAACATTTAATAAACGAATTAGAGACAATGTTCAGCATTATCCCTCCTCCTCTCCCTTTGACCAACGTTTAATATATTATGTCAAATTTTGTAACGTTGATATTTGTAATTTTAATGTGTACCATGGCGTTGAATATAGTATACCCATGTTTATTTTTTTTTTTAGAAAGTTCCCTTCTTAAATTGCTATTTTCTGCAACCATGGCAACACTGTTCATTGGAATAAAATTACTAAAATACTGAATTTTGTATCTTAGTGTTCTTTACATGTGTACTAAATTTTATTGAAGTCAGGCAAAAACTGTAGGAGGGAAAGCGATTTCAAAATTGCTGAATATAGTATACCCGTGTTTTGTAAGGAAGTCCCGTTCTCAAAATTGCTATTTTGTAACCATGGCAACACTGTTCATTGAAATTAAAAAAAAAAACTAAAATAAAGAATTGTTTATCTTAGTACACTCTAAAAGTGTACCAAATTTTATTGAAGTCAGGTAAAAACTGTAGGAGGGAAAACGATTTGTAAATTGCTTATAATTACGACAATCAGACAGCTGTAAAGCCAAAGTCTGATACACGGACATTGTGTAATTGTATAAACTCTTTCTATCAAATAAAATTGACCAGTATAACTAAAAACTAATTGTTTGTATGCTTTGTTTTAATAGTATCACTATATCCTCTGTTATGGAAATATTATTTGTAAATTTGTTTGTATTTCTGTGATGTAAAAAGGTGGAAAACACATATTTTGGCAATTATGGGTCTCATTCGTTGCAATGGCAACCACGACGTCATTTTACTCTGCATAATTAAATACTTTAAGATTTTACCTTTCAGAAAATGTATAGGTTGCTCTATGTAAAAGTGACTAGAAAATGTTAAAATTTCAATTTGAAAATTTTAGGCAGTTTTACAGAAAAAAATGCAAAATCTCTGGTAGTTGAAGGGTTAACAGCGAAATATTGTTGTTCAATCTGAGAATTTTATATATAAAAGTTATTTAGTACAGACATTTCGATGTGTGAATTTATGTAAATGTACGTCAGGCTTGGGATGAATTACATTGTAATGTAATTACATTACATGTAACATTACTTCTAGAAGTATGAAATTGCTATAACCATTACTCTATTTTCTTGAAAGTAATGCATTACATTACCGTTACTTTAGTAAAGTAATGCATTACCATTTTTTCGGGTTTAAGATAAACAATTTATGCAACTATTTAATTTAGCGAAGAGATCAAAACATAATTTCAATGTCTTACAAAAATGTAGATTCACTTTTTTATCAAAGCTAAATGCGATGAATGTTCATTCAGATTACTGAGCCAATTTCAAGCAAACTTTGCAAATATTTTATGTGTGTCTGTAAAGGAATTTGAAATTTGATAAAAATGAAAGGTCATTTGAAATCTTCTCAAATACCACCGTGCAGATGAAAAGATGAAACCAGTTCTTGCAAGTTATGGCCAAAGGAATATAAAATATTTTTCGTATTTCTTTTCACGCCATAGCTCACTCATCTAATAAAAGTTAAATTACATTTCCTAGCCCTCGGACAATTTGCCTAAAAGAAGTCAAGAAACAAAAAATTACGGCGATCACTTATATAAAAATACTTCTGGTTCTATCAAAAGAATATAACATTTGATAACTCGGAGACCATTTTCATGAAGCACGAGTTTTCAACAATTATTTTAAATAATGAGAAAATTCTTATTTAAAGATTACAAATTATATTTTTTTTTCAGGATGAAGTCTTTTTTAAATTTCTCTGTTAAAAAAATATTTTTACGATGGAACACCCTTTGCTGAAACACACTTATTGAAAGAGCGAGGAAAACTTAAGCATATTTAGATTTACAGTACGTGAGGATATCTCTAAAATAGAACAGGATATTAAGGGTTTATTTTACTGTAACGGATATATTTAAAGAATAACTCTTATAAACGATGACCCCTATAATGGCCCAACCATTTCTCACAAAAGCTGAGAAACTACAAATATTATACTATGTTATTGAATGTACACTATAAAGAGATGCTTGTAATAATCAATTAACTTGATAACCATTAGAGAAAGATTTTTTTTTCACTTACACCTCTTCATTTATAAAACTTTTAGTCTTCTTTCCAAAGTATAGCTAATGGATCTATGTTTAAAATAAAATGTGAGCCTAATTATCTTATAGGACTTATTTTCATAATTCTCTCTCTCTCTCTCTCTCTCTCTCTCTCTCTCTCTCTCTCTCAATGATTTTTTTAACTTTGTTTAAAAAAAACTTTGATTATTGTAACCAAACCATAATCATTTTGTCCATGATTAGAATAATTATAAACTACACAGTGAGTATATGTGGAAGCTTTTGTTTACAAATCCATTTTATCGATTTTTATCTAGTTGCTTGAGAAAATTTTTCTATAAAGACCCTTTCAATTGGTTTCACTTTGCAATAATTATTCTCCTTTGTTTATAGGCATGAACTTCTCATGAACCTTCCTTAGAAATAAAATAATTTTCAACCGATATTTTCAATGGAGCTGTGATTCTTGAGAAAACGTCAAGAATTCAAAAGAGAAATGTGACTGAGAACAGACGTACAGACGAGCGACAACAAACTTTGGCTAGAAAATCCCGCTTGAGCTTCTTGTGTTTCTTGCCCAAGTGAGCTAAATAGTAGAATAAAACAAAGAATGATCTATTTCTAACAGACACTTTATTATATCAGAGAAGAGAAATGAGGAGCACATATTTAATATTTTTTCTTGTGGCCTCCGGGAAGTATAGGCAGCAGAGGACTAACTACACCTGAACCGCCTACAGGACCGAATGAACCACCTCCAACGCCTCCCGGGCTATATGAACCACCTAGACCGCCGAGTGCAGGTTGATAAGGGCCGAAGAAAGGGTAAGTACATGTGTCTATTTGACCAGAGGATCTTCTTCTACAGCATTTTCCGAAAAAGGGGCAAATTGTGTCATCATTGCATGCTCTTCGTGTTGAATAGAAAGGATAGTCGATGAAATTACTATTGCAGCTACCGGGTCGTTGATATTCAAGTGGGATTTGACATCTATATCCGCCGTAGACATTACTTTGACAACATTTCTGTGACCCGTGGCAACCGTCGTCGTTAAAGCAGTAAGGCCCAATTTGTTGACTGTCTACTTCATTAGGATTAGGGCAAGTCCCGTATTTTACCGCTACAAAAAATGATTACTGCTTTCAATAATCACGATTTGTACATACATATAAATTAAACATAAATCTGAGTGGGATTTTTTTTTTTCAAATATCATGGTTAGTTTGTCTATTTACGAGTGTAAAATTCCTTAAAGGCGCCTAGGAACAGATTAAACGTTAAAATTTTCTAAAATTTTCAGTATAATATAAAATGACTTATATGTTTCTAGATCTTTTCGCATAAATATATTATAAATGTTTAGAAAATTCTTTTTTTTCTGGAAGTTATTAAAACTACTAATTTCGCGTTCGATTGACACGCATCTTTGCACTTTCACGAAGTGAATTTTATCTTTAATGTTTAAGAAAAATAGAATATTTTTGCGTATTTATGAAAAATATTAAAATTATTATCCACAAAACATTCAGAGTTGAAGGGTGAGAAAGCAAAACCAACTCACTAGTATTGCCAGTCCGCGTTCAGTGATGTGTGTAGAGCAATCGCATCATCTCGGGTCTTTCCGTCAGAGGTCGGAAAAACAACCTCGAATGTATTAACATCACCGGATGTTAAAAATTTATACAAGATGGAGTCGCTTCCTATTTATTAAAGCATTGGAAAGACAGAGTTATAGGTCACTCCTGTAGTATATTTTAGGTGATATTTCTACATTCAATAATGTTAAGCTCCATACTCTACAGATAAGAGGCCTCCTTCCATTTATTGCAAAGTTTATGAAAAGGGGGGTTGTAATGGACGCCTACGTAACACATTCGAGGTTGTTTTTCCGCTTGTCGGAAAGGCCCGAGAAGTTTCGATTGGTGTGTAGAGTAAACAAATTAAACACATGGTAAAAGGAAAACATTGACAATAACAGAGCTCGTGCCCGTGTTTACAAACACCGATGTTTGACATAATGTTATGAAGAATGTTTCTGTCTTTGATTTTTTAGTATTTTCATGTACCTTCAATTGATTGAACTGCGGTTGTTTTTAAATAAAAATAGAACTTTAAATTTGTAAACAAAACGTCAATGCAAGTGTGTCCAGACCCTCTTAAATTGGTTAAATAAAATAAATAGGCAGTCTTTTTGAAAAATAATATCGAAGTGTAACCAGATATGATAATTAAATTTGACAGTCATTAAAAGAAAATTCATATTCTCAATGCGCCCCTTTCACTAACATTTCGTAGATGATTTTTTTTTTCAGATATACTATATACCCAATTCTCATTTCATTGCGGGTTCCATTGTATTGCGGTATTTTCCAAAAATTAGGATACATAACACATATCCTTGTTAATGGATTTTTCTGTCTGTTGTCTGATTGTAGACTGGTGTGATGATGAATAAAGTATGGATTACACGTTGGGAAAAAATTATTCAAACAAAGAGTAATCGTATGGAGAAATGGTGTACATTTTGCTTATTTGCACAGCAGCCATATTGTATTCAATATGGCAGATGTCTGTTCAATTCATTCTATACGGAAAATTCGAAAAAAAAAATATCAATTCGAAATAATTTCTTCCTCATATTGTTCTATCTTTTATTGTGTCCTGGATCGGAATGCACTCTTTTGTTTTACAAAATGACGAAAGTTTAGAAATGGGATCGCTTTAGTCAAGTAAAATTAGAAATATCTACAATTTTCTGACTGAGTTCTTCCTTTAAGACGTGAAGGCGGGTAAGTTGTACATTCAGTTTCAAAAAATAAATAATTACTTTAAAGTTGAGAAGAACGTTCCTTTTTAATTAGAAAATCACATTTAGGCCAGAATTTAGACTAAGTGAATGAACCTCCGAGTGGGAGAAACACAGTTGCTTTTCCAGGGGGAAAATATTACACTTGATTGATGACATAACATGATGAAAATATGATTAAATTTATATTTTTTAATTTTAAAAAAGAACGATAATAAAATTATGAGGATTTTTAGAAATATCAAATAATAATGCATATTAATAAATAACGGCCACGTGATCACTAATTAATGAATAAAGCGTGCAGCATTTCTCCGTATGATTTTAGAGATTTCCATTCAGGTTTTAATTTTATTTATACCATTGAAAGTATAAACATAATAAAAAACACAATGAAGTTCACATTTTGAAAGCCTTATATTGTTTTTGTTGTTTAATCTTTATGTATATTCACATGTTGAATTAGAAAATATAAAATTGTACGTCATGACAGGCCAAACTTCAATGTATCCCAATTCCGCTGTACAATGAGAATCCCCAATTAAGGAGGTCAATAAGACTTCACTGTTTCAACAATAGACTATAAATTAAACGAAGCAAGCTTAAAAAATAATTTCCACTGAAATGTTACCTCATTGTTACGCTTATGAATAGCATTTTATGAAAAGCTGAAGTAAGATTTTGGAATAACTTTTTACTCAAAAGAAATAAGTACCGCGATATTTTGAGATTCATATCTTATTCCCAGTTCTATACACCCCGGATAGAACTTGTGACCTATTAAGTTAAACAGCCTGAATGTCATTGATGTCACATCTTTGTCTGTTCAATTCATTACAAGTAAAATTACCAAATAAGGAATTAAAAAATTAATTGAAACTATCAATTTTCTTAATAGAAAACATTTCTATAAGGATGACATATTACCTGATCTAAATATTCCACCCACTGTACCTCCACCGACAGGTCCATATACTCCTCCACCAAGTAGTCCTCCTCCGCCTACTCCTCCTCCTCCTAATAGTCCTTCTCCTCCTCCTAATAGTCCTCCTACAGCTCCTCCAAGTCCCCCTCCTCCACCCGCTCCTCCTATTCCTCCTAGTCCTCCAAATCCTACTCCTCCTACTCCTCCTACTCCTCCGACATATCCACCGGCTCCAAAATGTATACCTTTTGAACCTTTTTTGTAATTACTGCCCGCGTTACAGGAGACCAGAATGGAGATTAACACTATCACGGCGTTCATGTTGACTGTAAGCACATTGTTTTCTTCATTATTACTTTTTATTCAAAAAAATTAAAAAAAAAAAATAATAACCCCCCAAACTCAATTTTATGAGTTTTTAAGAATGGAGTATGAAGTATTCTCTGTATTTCGAAAAAAAAAATTGTTAAAATGTCTTATCTGAGAAAAGAGTATCTGGGAAGTTTAAATTTAATTCTTCAAAAACACAAGTAACAATCAAACAATTAAAATGGCTTTTAAAAAAAATGTATGAAAAAGAAGGCAAATCTTTCAAAAATAAATGTCCATAATTGTTTCACCTACTTTGATTATTCAACCTGTACTTACAAATGAACCGGCGATTTGATTCTGTGTAGTTACAAGAATACTTTCAAACAAAATCCTTAAGTCTTTTATAGTCTAAGGGAAGTATAATGGGTCACACTCTTCACTGCAAATCTAGATGGGGGAGAATTTTATTGGTCTAAAACCCAAAGTTCCTTAAATGTTTTTTTGGCTCAATGTTAATAGGCGTCGTGATGTCTTTTTCAAATTTAATTCAATCATAATTTTGAACCAAACGCATATTTTAACGATTTATTTACAAAAAATTACATAATAATTGTCAAATCCAGTGAAAGTTCGTCATCTGAAATACTCAATCATCATGACAGAGGTTAACAACATTTTTTTTTAAATTCAATATCAAAGTTCATTCTGATGACAAAGTTTAAATTTAGGTGTTTTCCCAGAAAAACTAAAAATAGAGGGATTTCTCTACATATACATTATGACTCAAACTTTCCTTCCATTAGTTTAATTATAATGTGTTAGGTAAATGAACTCTCATTAATAGACTAGCAATAATTTTATTAGCAAGAAAAGGAAACATATGCTTGCTATTTGTGACTTAAATTTCATAGGCATTCATTTTTATTTTAGTAACATCTGCTTATAGCATAACAAGCCATGAAAATTTAACTCTATTGTGATCCATTCATGCGTATTGCATTTTTACATAAACATGTAATGAATTAATTCGATGAAATATTATTACTTTTGCAAGCTAAGATTAGTATTAAATGTTATTGTCCCCCGCTTTCACTGAAAGATGGGGATATTAATTTGGGTCTGTCTGTCTGTCCGTCCGTCCGTCCGTCCTGTCTGTCTGTAACACTTTCGTTTCCGCGCGATATATCACTGTAGCTAAAGACTGCCTGCTTGGTCCATCTATATGGCGGTGGTGAATTATGTGTGTTCGCATATTCCGTAAAGACAGCTTGCTTGGTCCAGTACCTACGTCAGCCTATGTTTCGATGGTGAATTCTGTGTGTTTTCGTATTCCGTAAATACAGCCTGATTGGTCCAGCGTTCACATTAGCCTAGGTCAAGGTGGTGAATTCTGTGTGCTTACGTATTCCATGATGACTGCCTGCTGGGTACAGCATCCACTTCAGCCAATGTCTCGGTGGTAATTCTGTGTGTTTGTGTATTCCGTCGCACCTCAACGCAACTGGAAGAGTGCAACACATATTCTTACGCTCATTCCATTGTTTATCCTATTGCACATGTAAATTTCAGGATTTGTATTTGTGCATCGGCTTGTAATTGACAGGCAGTTGACTGGATTGATATTGAATTAATTGATGATTGATTGATTGATTGAACTTGATTGATAATTGAATTGATGAAGTTCATGCACTTGTGACCTACCCAGAGATCCGCCCGATTTGGGTCGTCACATTTGTTGTATTGATTGTTGATTGTGGGGCAGCCCTGTGGTAGCCCCAGCAAATTGATCACCGCGGCCAGAAGCGCCAAATTAAACAAGCAAAATAATATCTCTGTTGTTTGTTTGATTAATAGAGAATCTGCAATAATTATACAATAACATGCAACTATTAAAAGTAGCTCTAATGAAATATGGAGATAATGAACAGTATTCAAACTCAAAGTCCAATAAAACAATACAAATCGGAGCAAAGCAAACACAGACCTCCATAAACATCAGAGGTGGGATCAAGTGCCATGGAGGAGTGGGCACCCCCCTGCCGACGGCAGGTCACACCCGCCGTGTGCTCCTTGTCATGATCGCGAGATTACGGGAAAATCCGTCGACAATTCTGTGTGTAAATAATGGCCTAACAATTAGTATGAAAAAATCAGTCAGCATATGATTTAATGATAGATTGTATTTGCTGACAAGGTCATTGTATGACCACAGAACTTACGAAATGATGACTTTAAACGAGACTGTTGATATTCTTGTTTCATCAACTTGTTTGCCAAAGACTAACTTGTTTTAGAAATTGTTCATACATAGAACATGCCCTTGAGTATCGAATCAACTGAGAGATATGCATCCCATATGCAGGTGATAAGGGTATATTGCTACACAAGTAATGGAAGTCGACGATTGAAAAGTTAAAGTCTAGATCTCTCTCTCTCTCTCTCTCTCTCTCTCTCTCTCTCTCTCTCTCTCTTTGTGTGTGTGTGTGTGTGGTCATAGCAAATGCCCTAATTTTCATAAACTAGTAGCATATTTTGCGTAATTTAAAGACAAAATTCTAAATGTCATTACTTTGTCAAAATTATTTACATCGTACAATCAAAATATAAGTTTAGACGTCATATATCTAATGTTTTATCTTTATAAAGTTAATTCTTTTTCATCAATTGGTAGTTAATTTTACTTTTTAGTTATCATTTTCTGCTCCTGTTCGACAAGCTCATTTTAACGTTACCAAGGTTACGAAGGCTGAAAATATTGAAGAAAGGGTGATAAAAATTAAACCTAATAAAATAATTAAATAATTTAACAGTTTTTTGTGCATAACATCCTTGATAAGAACTATAAAACCATGTTTTGTTTCAAGATATTGCTCTAATTATAAAACACCACGTTAAAGTCCTTCTTATCACCAATACTTTAAATTCATTGTTTGGCAGCATAAGAGAGACCTTTAAGGCAAATTTTAAGTACAGTGTAATATGGTTTGAAGATCATATTTAAGCATGGTCGTGTAAGTTTTGAACGATATATAGACATTTGACATTTTAATATCTATAAAAAACCAAGCAGAGAAATTAAAAGTGTTTTATTTTATTCTAAAGAAATTGTGGATGATGATGATTATTACTTGAAATCAAATCTCCGAATCTTAGGCGATTAAGAATTTTTACTTTTAGATTTTACATACAAATTAAAAGTTCAGGATCATGAACTTTTTATATTTAATCTACTTGATAGTTGCTTGATTTGTATATGTATGCATTGTGCCTTGACCAACTGCTTTACTTTTATGACTTTCATGATCAGGACAAACAGAGAGCTTTTACAAGCTACCAATATGGTTTTTTTTACATAAACTTCAATAGTTAGTTCGGTGTATAAGTCATAGTACGTTTCAAATTTAAACCCTCAGATTTTGAAATATTGAGAATCCATACTGTTGTTTCCCTTATTTTACGCCAGTACTTTATATCGCGAAATGACTCGTTAACGTCAAATCGCGAGGACATAAATTCGCGAGAGGACTGTTTTTGAAGGGTTTTTACATGCTTTTTAGCAAATAAAAAAATAAGAGCGGGTAATTTAATTTTGCGAGGGGTGCCTCTCGCGAAATTATGCGGTAATAAATTCCTTGCGTACAATTAGGAATGTACAGTATAGGGTTCTTCTTGAAAATTGCAAATTAGAATTTTTTTTCCCAATAGAAATAAGCATCAAATTGGAATGATCTTTATATTAAATCACCATTTTTGCGTGAAATTCATTTCGATCTCAATTACATCAGAGATACATCAGAGATTCAGTACCTTTTCATACTATTGAGACCATATCAATATGAGTTAAACATTAAAGAAATAAATCTCTTTTTTTAAATCCATATTTACTATTGATGAATTTTACAGTGTTAACAGGTCTCGATGAATTCTTCAAACAATTTTAGTGTGATATAAATGAACATGCATATCGTTTATTAATATTTTTAAAAAAATCTTTTCTTTATATATATTAAGCGTTTATGAGATATAATCTATTTCTGATGTACATATGCTGCCTAAACACAATAAAATGCCACGATCATCATTACTATTTCTAATGTTTTGCAAGCTTAACAAACTTTAATATGCTTAAAGTCCATATTCAAGCATGGATGTGTAACGTTTTCAACCTTAACAAGAGATCTCTCCAACTTTTCAAGCAAATAATGAATTCCCGTGTATAAGAGCTATATTGTCTCATACGAAATGAAGAAAATAAGGAAATGACGTTCACAAACAAAACGACAAATATGGGCGTTAGTGAGAGATCCTGGTTTTTATGTGTCCTTGGTCCATGCAGACTTGTTAGGCAAATCACATTCCATTCAGGAAATATTGCACCGAACAACTGTCGTACAAAACTGATTTGTCTGTTTCATATCTCGATTCGTTTTATTCATGTGCATGAGTAGGTGTTCCTACTAATTTTTCTAGGACTTAATGTTCCTCAAGAACATACGAAGGTGACTTTGCTTTTATCTGTGTTCACATTATGCTTTATTCTGACTTAATAAGTATTAACACAGATAAAAAAAAATTATGTCAATGAAAACTACAATAGGTATTTATGAAAAAAAAAAGGTAAATTATTTAATTTGATCAGTCTCTTCAATCCTGTAAACAAATGAATCGCGAATAGGATATTACGATTACAGGCAAAATATGACCCACCGATATATTGGATTTGCAAACAAGTTTGTATTATCGAAGTTGCCAAATTCTGACTTTAAACAAGATTGTTGAAAGCCGTGTAACGTTATCTTATTTCTCAGTAAGCTCCCTCTATTTTTTTAAATAGTACTCACAACCTGTTCTTGCCATCCTACCGGGTAGTCATTTAGAAGATATGAAAACCATAGATAGGAATTACTGAATTAATACTGCATAAATAGGGGAAGTTGATAATGAAAAAACTTAAGTCATCACGTTTGTCATATATATGTAAAAGTCGTTAGTTGGTCGTTGATATCTATAGTCAGTAAAAGAAACAAATCTAAAACAGATGTGGCAGACCCTGTGGTGTCTTTTATTTCGAGTTCACTGTGATATATCGAGTCGACATATGAATGAAAATAACAATTGTTAATTGATAAGACGATACTTCTAACTGCTGAATTGAATGCCACAACTAGGGGTTTCTTCTTAGTTTCTAAAAATTCCAATTCATGAGATTGTAAAAACATGTCGGTTATTACAGGATCAGAATAATTGTTCATCTGCATTCCAAGTTTCCAAGACCAGGCTGCAAGAACTATTATATAGATGTTGTTGATGAGAAACTCCAGCATCTTTTTGATAACAAACCCAGGGTACTTGTAAATTCAAAATGAGTTTTAAAAAAGTAACTTGCATTAACTTTGC